TCTTTCCCTTGCAATGGCACCTACCAAGTTACTGGTTTCATCTCAAATGTCGATGACCTCACCCCACATACATCTTTTACCACCACCCCCTGCAACCCAGCTGCTGTCCCATAACTCTGCACAGACCATTCTTACTGAAGTTATTAGGGATCGATGAACAGTTTGGTTTTTATCTTACCAGACAGTGCTTCAGTGAGCAGTAATGATCATTTTCTCTTATAATTTTTCTGTTCCCTTGTCTTCCGTTGCAATATATTCACTTGTGTCTCTTTCCCACTTCTTTTTTTCTTTCTCTGTTTCTCACTTAGTTCGGTCTTTCTGTAACTGCTATTAAGCATTAAATCACTCCCGACGAGGTTTCATCCACTCTCATGATTTCGAGCACATTTAACCTATATGGCAATGATTCCCACGTCTCTGCCTTAAGCTCAGACTTCCATCTGCATTTCAGACTATGTGTTCTCCACAATATTTCGTAAGATCTTCAAATGCAACAGCTCCAAAGCGAAGCTGACTATCTTTACCTTAGACGAGCTCCTGTCCTATGTTCTCTGCCTAATCTGTCTAGATCAATTTTCACTCCATCTCTAAGCTGGAAGCTAATTCTTTTTTTAATTGCCAGAGGGCATGTGTATTCATGAGAGAGAGAAAGAGAGAAAGAGAGAGAGAGGTAAAACACACCAGCGGGATGTGATCGTGCCACAATTTATTTTCCTTCATTTCTCCATTCTGTCATAAATTGGGGCATGTATGCACAGTGACTGTTTTGTTTTTGTTATTTAAATTTTTGCCATGGGCATGTGTACTCACTAGAGACCAAGTCAGCAAGAGAGAGGAAAAGTAAAAAATGGCCATCCCACGATTCCTTCCTCTCCATTTTCCTCTCAGGATTTTAGGCATGCAAGCACATGTGCCTAATGTGTTTCTCAAGCCTCCAGGTCTGGAACTTGAACCACACAGTCAGCCACCTGGAATCCAATTACCTTAACCTCCAAACACCATCTCTGTGCTGGGTATTTTTCAAGCCACCAGGGTAGGAATTCAAACTGCAGTTGGCCACGCAGTAGTGGCTCCCTTAACCACTTGTCTACAGACCCAGTGCCAGAAGCCCAATTCTTGATTCTTATAAAGAAGAATCAAGATTGGGGCACCACACTTTCTGATTCAAAATATAGTACAAAGCTACAGTAATCAAAATAATATAGTACTGACATTAAAATAGACATTTTAATTGAAAATATTTGTAACTTGTCATAATCATAAACCTTTCCCATTAACAATATCATTCAGGGAAGAAATTAAGTTATTGGGAAAGATTTATCTCAATCACCCACCTATTCTCCAAACGTCTTCCTTTTTCCTATTCTCTCAGCCTCCTCTTCTCTAGTGGTTCCTTTAACCAAATTAAGGACTGTTCCCAAGATCTCAGAAATAAACCTTTACATATATGGGGAATGAAAGGACTATTATTCAAAATACATAAGGCATTTCTACAACGTAGTAACAACAAAAAATACACAAAACCAAATAACTAGACTAAAGAAAATTGGTACATAGCCCAGTCTGGTAGCACAATAGGTAGCAAACCAAACCACAGTGGTGGAAGCAACATGTCTGTCAGCCTGGGTCACGCTGGACAAGTATACACATGAGTGCCCAAGATATTGGCAAGCTGGAGGGCTGGGTAAAGGGGATTATAGCATGAAGAGATCTTGACCACAGTGTTTTTCTCCTCTCTCTCTCACTCTCTCTCTCTCATTCCCTATCTCTTGTATGTTCTCCATCATGACTATAATAAATGTTTTTAAAAAGGGGTAAAGGACTTGAATAGACATACCAATGGCCAATAGATGTGTGAAAAGTTGCTCAGCCTGTGCTCACTTCGGCAGCATGTATACTAAAATTGGAACAATACAGAGAAGATTACCATGGCCCTTGCGCATGAATGACACACAAATTCATGAAGCGTTCCATATTTTTTTGATAAGTGTTGGCAGGGGTGTGGTGAAAGGGGAACTCTTTTACACTGCTGGTGGGAATGTAAATTGGTCCAGCCACTGTGGAG